ATTACATTGGAAATTAAAAATAGAATAATGTAAAATTAACAGATATATTTTAGAGGCACTTCAGAGTAGTAGGTTTTTAAATAATAGACTTTCACTACTTTAAGTGTGTTTTACTGGGATTTTAGTTTAGAAGAAAGCTTACCAATAATCATAAGTATGCTTTAAGATTAAAGGTTAATGAAATAATTATAGGTATGCTTTAAAGTTAGAAGTGAATAATAGATCAGGAGTCATGTAGTCTAGTTGCGTTGCCTAGCACCTAGTGATTGAGGTGAAAAAGTAAAAGCTTAATCATGATTGACTAAGGTTACAGAAAAATATTTTGAACAATGTACTCAATAACTTAGGTAATCAATGTATGTCAGAAAAGATTGTAACTCTTGAAAATTATGTAAATCAAAAAAGTTCAGGCTTTGAAGCTATCCATTAACTACCTGAAAAAACACCTGTAAAAAAGGTATAAAAATAAAGTTCCCTCCAGGGGCAGCAGAGATTTCTTCTGGAGGCTGCTCATAATTTGCAACCTGTTGTCCTGACTCCTCTTCTTTTGCTGATGCCACTCCTCCTTCAGGACCTCTGGAACCTGACTCCGCCTGCAGGGGGCTGGACCTCAGCAGTGTATAACCAGAGACATGAGAAATTGTGTTCTATCTGTGTATTATAAATTGAAATGCATTCTGCTGTCATATGTAACAMATTAGAATTTAAAAACAAGAAAAAYAAGCTTTCATTGATTGTTTTGTGCCAAGTTGCCTAATGTGCTGACTTCTTTTTTTGCAGGGGGCGGGCGGTCAAATGAGGGGACGCTTTACCACCGAGCTACATATATATCTAGCTCATTTTATTTATTTAGAGACAGGGTCTTGGTAAGTTGCTGAGGCTGAACTTAAACATGCAATCTTCTTGCCACAGCCTCTCAAGTTTCTGGGATTACAGGTGTGCACCACCTTTCTGGGCTTCTTGTTTTTTTTTTTTTTTTTTCTGGGAGAGTGAATCATACTAACTTTAAAATTCATCTTGGGTCTACCTTGTTTTTAACTTTAGGGCCTTTTAAACTCTTAAATCTAGAGCTGTTTACTGTTAGGAAGTTTTTCCAAGCCTGGCATCCCACTGACAATGTGTGAGGTCATCAAATTCMAAAGAATGTCAAGAGAGTTGATGAGAGGAAAAACAAGGATGCACAATTCTGGTGACAGAGGCGAAAAGCAAAAACAAGCAAAAAACCTAGGAATGAGGTTGGATGATATGTGTTGCTGTGTAACAAGCCACTCCAAACTTGGTGGTTTGAAGTAATATTTATTTTGCCCACAAATCTGCACTTTGGGCAGTACACAGCGAGATCAGCTTATCTGTTCTACTTGGTGTCCTTGTGTCTGCTCTATTGGGGGTGGAAGGGAACACTTTCATGATGGCTTGATGGCTAGGAAGATGGTGCTGGCTCAGCTGAAAGCTCAGCCCCATTCCACAGGCTACTTCAGCTTAGTTTTGGCATGATGGTTAGGCTCTGAGGGTGAGTATCTCAAGGAAGTGGAGCCACCAGTTTTTTAAGATTTGGGTTTAGAAACTGGCAGTGTCACTTCCACTGGATCCTAGTAGTCACTAACAAAACTCCAAGAAGATTCATAGATCCTACCCCTCAGTGTATCAGGGAATTGGGGAGCCACTGTTTTAAAACCAGCAAGTTAACTTGAGAGTGTGAGCAAAAAGCCTGAATGGATAGGAATAAGAGTACATTTATCAACTAGCACTGGGATAGGGGAAATGATGGATTACAGAGCCAGGATATACAGATAGGACTAGAAGAATGATGAAAATGAAAGCCTGAATCCCAGGAAAGGTTAGCTGCAAAGAGGGCCATTTACCCAGAAACTGCGTGTATAGGAGCCAATTGAGAAACAGAAGTAAAGTCAAGGCCAGGCAGTCAGATGTTGGGAAGAACACAGGGAAGGTAAAGAACAGATCAAGGCCAAATGCTTGAAATCTGGTTAAGAGGATAGTTAGGAGTCCAGTGTGTAAGTGAAGTAGTCAAAGCTGGTAAAACAACTAGGACTAAGTAGCAAACACCAGAAAATATGGCAATGCCAGAGTGCCAGACAGAAACAGGAATCCAGAAATCAGAAAAAGGCAAATCAAAGAGGTAGAAAAATAGGTAGACTTTAACACTGAGGTGGAGTATGGAAAGCCTAAACTCCCATCTACTGGGCTGTGCTGCTGAGAGATCTGAGTACCTCTCCTGCTCATCTACATGGTGGGGCAGTAGTCAATGAATTGACCAAAAGATACCGTATACAGCATGAATTAGGCAATCAGGGGTTGGGAGCATAGCTCAGTGGCAGAGGCTTTGCCTAGCATATGAGGCTCTGGGTTTAATCCCCAAAATGACAAAATAGAAACAACAATCAGAAAACACCTCAACTACAATTGTTTCAATTCAGGTTTTTATTAAAGGTATTAAAGTTATTTCTGAATATTACATTTCAGTCTTATTTTCCCCTATTTATTTTTTGTTTTAAGAACCTTTCTTCATTTACCAAATATGGTGTCATGAGTAAGAGCACCAAAAAACATAGTCAATGTCGAAGAGACTGATTGTTTTATGGCAGTAAGGAAAGTCAGTAAAAAAATTGTASAATCCAGTTACAGAAACACCAAAATTCCCCCTTCGAGCAAGCCAGAGCTTCTTTACATATCATCTGTAAGCTAATGTTTTTGCATTTTACCATTAAGATGAAAATAAAAGAGCAAGATCACATTTTTTTATTTTTCTGCTTCTTCAGTCTAAAAATATGAGTTTCTTGTGGTATGGTTAATACCCCCCACCCCCCTGCAAAAAACAAAAACAACAAAACAAACAAACAAAACTGGAAGGAAAATAAGTCACTGTGAATGATTTGCTTATCATTTTTTAAAAAAATCAGTTGACTAGCCTTTCCCTTTCCTTAGACTTTAGGCAGCTATAGAAACGTAGGAAAAAAAAGATTAAAAAAAGATAAATAAATATAAGGGCCAACTGTAGGAGGCAATTTGCATACTTCACTTGATCCTCACAGTATCATGAGAGCATTTTAAAAACAAGCTTATAAGAGTGAAATAACTGGGGCTCAGTGTCACATAGGTGATGGAGCTGGGTGGGATTTATGTTCAAGTCTATGCCTAGCAAGCCTTGTTCTATTATGCTGCTCTGGCTCCCTAAAGCCCTTTGACTTGAGATTTTTTCCACTATTACCATTTCATCATTGAATTCTAAATTTATGCTTCAAGTCTTGCCAAACTACTGAATAATAAAAGAACCTAAAATTATTCTCAATCTGCTTGCAAATCCAGGAAGTGTAAAGGGTATCAGAACTCTTCAAGTAATGAGAATCTTCCATACCTAAAATTATAAACAATTCACTGGTAATGATAGCTAGTAATACCAGAACACACATGGGTAATTTGACTCAATTTCTTATTGTTACTATCTGTCAATCTCACAGGAATAAAGGCAGAAAAGGACAAATTACTACAGTAAAATTTGACTGCTCATTAAATATAGTGTGCACTTGGTTGAGCACCAAAAGCACCTTTTGATGGCATTTTAAAAGTGCATGTTTACTAGCCTCTCCCCACCTTGTGCACACTATAGAGCTACACCTCGCTCAGTCCCCTAGTTTTTTTTAAAGTGTTTAAATCTGACGGCCCACTGGGGGGAGGGGGGGAATCCCTTACAGATGCACATTTGTGTAGTGTTGTAGAATTAACTATATTGTCTAAGACGATAACTTACTATCCCCAAAATATACTTCTTTTGCATATTTTGAGAAACTGCAGACAGAGTAGCTCTGAAAAGTTGTCTTTTTATAAATTAAACATATATATTATTAAAGGTGTCTATATCAGAGAGAGGGCTGCTAGGCAACTTTTGTTACCTGCCCCCCCCCTTTGGGTGGTGATGGAAATCAAACCCATATTACCTTCCTATCTGCATAATAAAGCCACCTTTATTTACCAGTTTCCTCCATGTCCCCCACTCTTACTCCCCTGCCAAGATCTATAGCTCAGAATGCTGTAAGCTTCAATTATCTTTGACTCCTTTTGAGTCTTATTTTGTGRGACTCCCATGCAAAAATATACAATAAAGTCTAATTTTTCTCCTGATACTGTCATGAGTAAACTTAATTTGCAGCCTAAAGAACCTAAAAGGGTGGGGAGAAACCAGTTTTTGCTTTTACTCAGGATCAGAGTTCTGGTGAAGTGGATTTTATGGGTAACCAACTCAAATCTATATAATCTGGACACCTCACAAGTTAGGTCTGCTGCGAATGTAACTCTATGTAAATATCTTTAAGTGTTTGAAGTTAACATCTATACTTACTCATTTATTCAACCGCTTGTTGAAGTTTAGTCACTAGTTTTTTTCCCCTTTGGGTCCAATCCTAAAAAGAGTAGGCTCTTTTACTTCAGAAGCTGAAAGGTAAGATTAGACTGAAGCCTCTCCTAACATTAAAGTATCTAACTGACCTCCTTTCTAAATAAAGTCTCACTGATGTTATTACTCATTAAGTCATTTATTAGATATATTTTTTACATAATATCAGTTGTAAGACTAAAAAAAAATCCCCACATAGGACCATTAACTTTAGGAGGTTAATACATAAGAGGAAAGCTAGAGGAGCTGGGGTTGTGGCTCAGAGGTAGAGCACTTACCTAGCATGCGTGAGGCACTGGGTTTGATCCTCAGCACCACATAAAAATAAAATAAAAGATGTGTCCACCTATAACTAAAAAATATTAAAAAAAAGAGGGAAGCTAGATGTTTATACAAATTTGACTTAAGATGGATACAAAAACTATGGATAAAGGCTTGACAGGCTTGGGAATGTATCATAGTGGCAGAGCATTTGTCTAGCATGCATGAGACCTTGGGTTCAACCCCCAACACTGCAAAAAATAAAGTTTGTCAATGTAAGAGAGGCAGTGGTTTATAGAACCAACTAAAGAAAAAAAATTTCAATATAACCAAGTGAAATGAGAAATTGTGGGAATGTAACATTTTTGTCCTGATCACTTCTCCACATAATCTAATATAGGATCCTAAGGCAAATTTAACCAATAAGGCATAGGAGTTGGGACAGGGAATGAGCAGTTGTGGGTAATTACCAATACAGACTCATTTGGGGTCATTARCTGTTAGTGCTGCCTCATTTTACCAGAAATTACCTAGTGAGGCTAAAAAATAATTCCTTGCTTTAAAGGGATGTAGGTACCTTGAATTTCCTGATGTTCCCTACCTTCCAAGTGGAATTGGAAAGGGGTAAGTATCACAAAACAAAGTAAGTAATGAAGCTTAACTGGGACTACAAGGACAAAAGATGGATAAACAGTAAAGAATAAAACAAAAGGGGGAAATCCTGAAAAATCTCTCTATATAAAAACCAATCCAAACAATCCAATCTAAACATATACAAGTGTAAAACTTTATCATCTAAATAYCCAAATATTGAACTAATCCCTACTGTCTCCTTTTCCCACAGAATACAAAACACTATACAAGATATTGTACTAATTTCAACCATTAGTTGAAAATACAGTTAAGAAGATGATTTTGGATCTGAAGTCATCAGAGTACCAGTTTAAAAATAATTTTCGTAAACATATTTTGATAAAGGCCACAGGAACACTTGTCACATTGTTCAAATGCTCAATGGCAAGACTTCTGATGAGACCAAACAGGTCACATAAAATCAATAGAGTATCATAGAAATAAAGCCAATATGACTAAATCCAAAACAGATCACATGAAGTACCTCATGTACAATACAAACCTAGTTTAATAAATAAAGGAAACACAGGTGACTGCACTCTGGGAGAACATTCAGTTCTTCAGGGCCTGCTCATAATCTTCTCTGAGATTCCACTGCCACTTCCACTTGAGCAAGTCTAATGGTACGGCCATGAAGTTTGTAGCCATCTTGCCTTACTAACGCCACTGTGCCAGGTTGTACTCCAACACCAGCTGGCACATGACAGATGAGTTCATGCTCATGAGGGTCGTATTTATCACCGATAGGAGCCATCTTCTCCAGGCCATGCTTGGCAAATACACTTTTCAGCTTTGCTTCTAAAAGTGACAACCCTCGGAAAACTTTCTCCAGAGTGAGCTTCTGGTCCCCAGGTTCTGTTTCTTCAGAAATGCACTCAGTAGTCTTCTCCAAAATGTCTGCTACCTCCACCAAGTCCTTACAGAAACTCTGGATTCCTACAGAGAAACCAGACACTTAAGTTTGTGAAGTAATCACTCTGCACTTAGGAGGAGAATATGGGGCAGGCCCAGATGGGAGGCTAATATATTATATGCAAAGAGTGGGAGGGTTGCCTCACAGAACTCCAGGATCATCCTCCTTTTCACCCTAATCCAACAGACAAAGTCTTTTTTTTAAAAGGTATAGAAGACCAGAAACCCTACTGGGAAATGAGGAAGAGAGTTAGAACCCAAGAATTAGCTAAGTTTATATATAACAGGCTCAAAAACCTGTTCTTGTTAAAACAACTATTATTTTTGCTTCTTGTGTTTTTGTTGCTATTCAGTTTTAGTATAGAGTTATATATATTTTGAAAATTCCTATCTCAGATGTACAAAGGCCACACTCTCAATAGGGACAAGATATTAACTGTTGGGGGGGTGACAATAAAAATATCAACACTCTGCTAAGGATGTCAAGAGTGGTTTATTCTTGAGGACTGGCTAATAATAAACAGGAAAGTTAAGTCACATCAGTAGATGATATGAATCTCCAACTGCCTATGTGAAGTTGTTAGAGATGGGTCACAAAATTTAGTCACATGAATTGTTACAGGTTAAAAGAAAATACAGCTGTTGAGAAATCCCATTCTTCCTAAATCTGCAAAATGCTCTTTCTTATAGAGATCAGGATAAGATTAGGATAGGAAATGGCATCTTTAGAGATGCCTATGACACAATACTTAGTTGGGACTGATGAGAGGCAAGGATTTTGTTAATTCAAGGACAAGTTTATGCACTGGTAGCTGCCTTCACTTTACTCAGAAGTGAGAAGGAAGATCAGCAAGCAATAAAAGGCATGAAAAAGCAAAGAGACGGGAAAACTTACTGCCTAGATAAAAGTCTAAAGGCCACATAGGAAGTCTACCTTTAACTTAAAGGTGAAGAGCTTCCTCCCCACCACCTTTTGTTTTTGGCACTAGAGATTGAACCCTGAGGTGCTTTCTCACTAAACCATACTCCAGCACTCTTAATACAATTTTGAACATGGTAAGCTTCTGGGCTGACCTGTACATTCCCAAGGCATAGTCCTTGCTTCTAGTCAGTAAAGCTATATGAACTTGGGTAAAGAGAAGCCTGTGTTTTTGTCTGTATAATAAAGGTTCATTCTCTAATTTCATTCTAATTGTTGTATTACTTTGATAGTTAGTGGCTGCACAATGTCTTAAAAGAAAAATGAATCTTTGTGACTAAGAAGGTGGATTATTGAGGAAAAAACCACCTTTGGAAGGTCAGATAGTCTTCATGCTGTATCCCTTTAAAATCATTCTACTTTTCTTCTACTTCCATGATTACCCAGTTACTTCAATTTTCTAAATATTTCTGGCCACYAGGAGCAAATGATCCAAGAGAATAACTTATGCAGCAAATTTTGCTAGAAACATTTTACTCTAAAGCCAATCAGGTGGATTAATTTATCAAATTCTTTTGAATTTAGTTAACATGGGTTTGTTTTCAGAAGTCGTACTACTACTTGAGTAAACTGATATGCTAGTTCTAACTCAAAGTCTGACTTTTTTTAATATACCTTTATTTTATTTATTTTTATTTGATGCTGAGGATTGAACCCAGTGCCTCACAYGTGCTATGCGAGCTCTCTATCACCGAGCCACAAGCCCAGCCCAAAGTATGACTTTTGATAAGCCCACTCACCTGGCTTCTTTCAAGTAAGTTGTATATGGAGTCTAGAGTAGCCACCTGAGGTTATCYGATTCTGTAATCTGAGCCTTTGTTTTCAAGCTATTTTATAACTCACCATGATGTACAATACTGATAGTAATGCAAAAGATACTTGTCCACAATAGGGAAAATTGTCTGGTAGTTCATTGTTACACTATGGATATCAATCAATTTTGCTTCCAACAGAGTCAGTAACTTCACACATTAAATATTACTGAGTATCTACCACATGCCAGGCACCACGTTGCCAAAATATCAGATATGTAAGTACTGTGATAAACAGGGAACTAAAAGGAGATGACTATCCTCAGTCAGTGACATTTTTGAGCTTCTCAAGTTTCATATTCCTAACTGTCTATGAGCCTACACTTCAGATTCTCCTCTGGATACCTTAAAGGTCCACTTGTTCATTATGCAGAACTGTTTGCACAGGCACTAGCATGTTGCAAATGTAGTGATTATATGTACTTAGAAAATAAAACAAAGGTTTGGTTAAAACAAAGGCTAACATTATCTTAGCAAAAGGTTAAGTTGACACCATTCCTGATAAGCAGCACAAAAAGCCTATTGGTATGGTGGAAGGAGTAAGAACTCAGATGTACTTTTACTGTGCTCAGTTTGCACATGCTAAGTAAGTGCCCTTCAGATACATTTTATGGTGAATAAATTTCTCACCAAATATCTTGGCGTCTTCCACACATCTCTGGGTTCTTTTCCTTATGTTTTCACAATCAGCTACAGCTCTCTGGTATCTCAGCTGAACATCAACAGCAACATTGAAAAGATCAGAAAAAAAATGCTTATGAGTGAATAAGAATGTTTTTGCTTWCTTTATAAAATCTCACCCTTGTGATAAATCTTAGATCAGCTACTCCAAATCCCCAGCCAAAGGAGGGAMCTACTATAGTAAACCTGATGGGTAGTCATTCAGTCTGCTGGAYTGAATATAAGTTTCCTTCCTTCTTTTTTCTTTTTCTTTGTGGTATTGGGGGTTGGGCCCGGGACCTCAGATGTGCTAGGCAAGTGCTCTATCACTGAGCTATATCCCAGCACCTCAATATCAGAAGTAGTTTTCAAACTACTTATCTAAAGAAAAAACTTTCTCTCTCATATCCAGCTAATACTGTTAACCTTCAGTTTTCTTTCTCTGACTTTTCTCTAGGACAACTGAGAGTAAGTTTTAAAAATGAGTTATCTATTTAAAGGCACTGATTGTAGTCTCTTAGTCTTTTCCATTCTTACAAATTTTGGTTCCTTCAATTGTTCTCATAAGATAAGCTTTACAGTCTCCTCTCATTTTCAGTGGTCTTGCTTTGAAACCACTCTGGTCAATATACTTATCTTCCTCCAAGTGTGTCAACCCAGGACTAGGTCCAGTATGCCTAATTTGGTCTCAGCAGCCAAATACAAGAGCCAGTAACCTCACACATTAAATATTATTGAGTGTCTACCACATGCTAGGCACCACACTGCCAAAATATCAGATATGTAAGTATTGTGATAAACAGAGAACTAAAAGGAGATGATTATCCTCAGCCGGTGGCATTTTTGAGCTTCTCAATTTTTTTGCTGGTAACACCTAGCAATGAAGGATTGAGGGGGTAGACGAAGAGTCAATCAGAGAAAATTGCATTTTAAAAAAGACAAAGAAAATTTTACTTGGAACTTAAACCAAAAGACCAAATAACAYAAAATCTACTTACTGTTAAATCCTGAACTTCCTTTTCCAGTTTAACGGCTTTTAGCTTTAAGGCTCGTTCAGCAAGAGAGGGCCCAAGCTCATCAGGAGGGTCCTCAGAACTGCAGTCTTCACCTGCAGTTCTCTGAGTGGCAGTGCTGAATGGGTGAAGCCATATCCTAGAATAGGAGGGAGGAGGCAACAATGAATGAATGTTATCATAGAAAAGGCAAATTACAACAAAGTTTAGAGACCCCAAACTTCCCATACTGAATCTCTAGAGAAAGGGTTTTCCGTCACAAATGAACACTTTAGAGCATCAGGTACTGTTTTATCTGTATCATCTTTTCATCTCACAACATGTAAGGTAAGTACTATTATTTTTTAGAGCTTCTAAAAAAATAATAGTTTTATCAATATTCAGTTCTTATGCCATACAATTCACCATTAAAAGGTTTTTAGTATATTTACAGTTGGGTAACTATCACAGTTTTAGAACATTTTTTCTCACCATAAAAAAGAAAGCTTATATCTGTAAACTATTCACCATTTCCACCTAAATTATCTGTCTGGGCAAGTCTAACATACTTTTTATTTCCCATGTATTTGCCTTTTATGGATGTTTAACTTAGGTGGAACTATTCAATATGTGGTCACTTAAGAGCACTTTCTTTCCCTTAGTGTGCTTAAGGTTCATCCATAAAATTGCACTAACCAGTAAAACTTTTTTTTGTACTGGGGATTGAATCCAGGTGTGATTAGCCACTGAGCCACATTCACAGCCCTTTTTATTTTTTGAGACAGAGTCTTGCTAAGTTGCGGAGGCTGGTTTTGAACTTGTGATCTTCCTGCTTCAGCCTCTGAGTCACTGGGATTATAGGCTTGCTCCACTGTGCCCAACTGTAATTTTTATTTTGAGACAGGGACTCACTAAGTTGCTGAGGCTGGTCTAGAACTTGAAATCTTCCTCAGACTCCCAAAGTCACTGGGATTATAGCATGTGCCTCGGTGCCTAGCCAATAAACCTTTTTTTCCTGCTAAGTAATATTCTGTTGTGTGGATATACCAACTTTTTTTTCCATCTGTCAGTTCATGGGACATTTTGATTCTTTCCACTTTTTTGCTGTAATAAATCATATCTATTTAACTGATGAAAAAACTGAGGCCAAGAGGCTTAATGCTTAATGATTTGTTCAAGATCACACACAGCTGGGCAAAGTGGCATATGACTGGAGTCTTAGTTACTAAGGAGGCTGAGGTGGGAGGATCATGAGGTCAGCCTGGGCAACAAAGCGAGACCCTGTTTCAAAAACAAACAAAAAATAAAACAACAAAAATCCCCCAACACAACTAGTMCACTGTGGAGCCAGGATGCTGACCTCCAGGAAGTAGAAATAGCCAGAAGTGGGTACACAAAGTCATCAAAAAAAAAAAAAAAACTAAGAATACTGAGAATCAGAGAGGCAACATCAGAAGTGAAAATTCAAAACTAGAGACTCACAGTTTTGCTTCAACYCTTCATTTACAGAAAAGAAAAATTAAGTCTAGTAAAGGGGGCTGAATTAGACTTTGAATTCTAAGCCTTCTTGACCACAAGTTCTAAGGCTTTTAGGAAAAAGAACTTGTGCTAAGAAGGAAGTTCTGAATTGGGAACTCAACTACATGTAAAATCAAGTCAAAGAAGTGCTTATAAACACCTGTTATGTGTTCGGCCTCTAGGCTAAATAGGTGACTAAAACAGATCCTTGTATTTGATACTTATGTAATCTAGAATTTTGTACAGCTAATAAATTGGTAAAGGTCTGGATACAATCTGATGTAAATTCCTTACGTAAGGAAGTACTTAAGTTGTCTTTCAGGAAGTACCTCCAAAATTCATTCAAGGATGACTTAAAACTGCTTGTTCAAGAATGGAATTGCGCAGAAGCCAGCTTGCCTGAGGTTTAAGTTAAAAAAAAAATCCTCCACACAGAACAGGCCCTTGGAAAAAAAAACACAACGCTGTGACCCTTGAAGAGGCATAACATCTATACCTGTACAAAAGAACCCTAAAACTTCTCCTCACCTATCCAATCAATAAGCAGCRTCTCCATTCTTGTCAGTTGTCCTCACAATACAGTCCTTTACTTTTGAAAAAAGAAACAAAAAACCAATGTGTCATAATATTGGCTTCTGTGTATGCAGGGCCCTTGCTCAGTATCACTAAAGGTTTGACATTTAGTTAGTTTACAAAGGAAGAAATTTAGACCAGGGGTTAGTTTGTAACAGATCTTGAACTATGGCAGTTCTGATCTCTTTATAGAGAAGTTTCCATTACACATGCTGGGTCCTGATAATTTGATTTCAAGTAGAATCAATCTGTGGTACAAGAGCTCTTTAAAACAAAATAGTTTATATGAACAGGCAAATATTGGAGAATGGTCACTGAGGTGACATCTGGGTAAAGGCTTAAGGAGTTAAAGGAGTTTGCTTTAAGGACAGGGAAGAGCATTCTGGGCAGACTGAGGCACTAGTTTAAAGGTATGAGCAAAAGAGCTTTTATCTCCCAGACTTTGCCTGGTCTTGAACTCAATTATTATGATCTGGTGTCCAATTATATATGGTTCCTAATTTTTGGTTCAAAAAATATGGTCACCATAGATCTGGGGCAATTATACATTGTGAAATCACTCTTTCCCCCTAAAAAAATTATTTAGCCTATTGAAAACAGATCAAAATATCCTCAGGGCCAGTCAACAGAACAACTGGCTAGAGGTCAGATTATCAAAGAGTTGTGGCTGATTCCAAATCCTACTCCTTCAGAACTGGAGGAAAGGGGAATCTTATCAGAAGGCATCATTTTTTTTTTTTTCTTTCTGATCATTCTTCTACCTCACCAAACTGCCAAAAAAAGTTGAAAAGAAAACACTAAGTAAAACCCAGAAACCCTAAATTTAACTCACCTATGCTATGGAAAGGTATTTTGTCAGGTGTGTTAAAATTAAAAAGAACTGAAAAATAGTTATGCAAATTTCTCTGTAGCTAAATCTACAATTCAGAGGTCTAATTCTATCCCATACTCAGTCATTTTTATTCTTTCCCAGGAATACAAACTGAGAAAAATGAACACCTGTTCAGTAATAAAACACCTGTTCTATCAAGTCCRGGTTCTATCACTACCCACGTATTTAAGTTTGGTAAAGTTTACCCAATTTTTTTAAACCTCAATTATTAAACGGGGAATAACAAAATGAGGTAGTCGGCACGGTAAGTGATCAAATGAAACCTGATGACGCCTAGAAGCAGTAGCTGGAATTTCACAGTATCTGGAAGGCAGAAGGAAGGGCTGTTTGCAGAAACCAGGTCCAACGCCCTCCTTTTACCAATGGGTAAAATGATGCCCAGGAAAAGGTAAAGAACCAGGACCTACGGTCACATGGAGTCAGAAGAACCAACTATTCTCAGACACCACTAAAGAGAAGGGGCCAAGAGAGAGGAAAATCTCCAATTCAGTMGATGCTTCAGGCTCAAGAGACTTCTCATCTCCCAGGACATGACTCCATATCTGCCCACTTCCTTGAGGCTCGCCTGTGAACCTCAGTTTCTCCCTCTGTAAAATGGGTCGTGAACACCTGGTCAAGGAGGCCGTGAGGAGTGCCTGGTCCTCTCGACTTAGCCGAGTAACCCCTCGCCCTCCAGCCCATACTTGCCCTTGCCAGCGCCCTCGTTCGGCATAGCCTTCGTTTCGGACTCCTCGCCCGTAATGCTTACCTGCTACGCGAGGCCAGGAGGCGCTGCACCCGCCGCTGGACCGCCCACAGAGACCAAGCAGCCATGATCCAGACCGGAGAGGATCGGTGCGGCGCACGCGCACTCGCTCCAAGTGAAGCGCGCGCTCGAAAACCACGCCTCCGGGTAACCTTAGAGAGCAATTCCCGCTTTGGACGTCCGGACAGGAACGCTAAACTTCCGGTTATCTAATGAGCCACGCTGATCTTGGTACCGAACGCAACACTTCCGGTTGCTGGCTCTTTGGTTTGGTAGTGTGGGTTTCTAGGTACGGAGGATTGGTACTAGGCACGGAACGACGAACAAAAGCGGCTGAATCTTCATAGAGCTTTYGTGAAGTTATAAACTACAGATACAAGCGCAGTATAAAATCGAAATATGTCCAGGGTTTAAAGATGAGGGACGGAGTGCTGCGGAGGCCTAGAATACAAATATGTCCGAGTATGGAAAGTTTTCCCAAAGGAAATGATATAGAGCTGAGAGTAAAAGAATTGGTAGGTGAAAGGAGGGTCAAGTGGTGGTGAGTGGTAATATTTGCAAACACCCAGTGAAGAGGGAAGAGTATTGCAAACCAGAGACTGAAATACAGCGAAGGGCATAAGCTGAGTAGGCAGGACCAGATCACGTGACTGGTGAAAAAAACTGCATCCTGAATGCTTCTTTCCCCACTTTTCCTTCAATACCCTTATTTTCTGATTAGGAACTGTTTTTTAATGGTGTGTATTGTTTTATTTTCTCTTACTAAAACTTAGGTTCCATTGGGGGCAGAGATATTTTTTGTTAATTCCTAGTGAGCAGTGCCCTAATGTACGTGTTTAACATTTTTTCGTGCTGAATGAACCTTAGTCTTATTTTGATTGCATTGAGAACATGTGGTAAAACCTTTACATATTTTTGTTGTAAGGAGGAGAAGAAGGGTATAAGAAAAGAAGTAGGGGAGATAAGCTGTTGGAATAATAGCCCAGGCAGGAGAGGGATTTATTCTGCCTAAGATCACCTTAATGGAAACCTTTGTAACTTCCCTGTGTAAAGTAACTGTGTCCCAAATCTTTTTCCTTTATTAGTATTTTGCTTCCTTTTTGTTACTCTAATTTGGATTTGAGCTTCACCAGGTTCAAAGCAATTTTCCCTTGACATCTACTATAGCAGGTGCTCAATAAATATTTGTTCAGTGAATTAATGAAGTTCGATGATGTTAATGAAGATAGGAGGATGTGGATGAACTATAGAGATTTAGGATGGAAAGCTGACAGGATATGAGAATGAACTGGTGGCTGGGCTCTAGGGTATTTGGAATTACCAACTTATTGAATAATCTTTAAAGTTAAAAAAAAAAAAGAAATGGGACGGGCTGGGGTTGTGGCTCAATGGTAAGGCGCTCGCCTAGCATGTGTGAGGTATTGGGTTCGATTCTCAGCACCACTTATAAATAAATAAATTCATTAAATAAAGGTCCATTGACAACTAAAAAATACTTAAAAAAAAGAAATGGAATATACTTAAGCACTCTGAATCTTCACATGTTATGGCTTACTTCTGTAGCAATCTGGGTCGGATTTTCTCTCCTGCTTGTCAGTTCCATGAGGACAGAGCTGGAATCTTTTGCATCTTTATATGGCATCTAAGTCCCACTCAAATGTGTTATAACCAATCCCTTCAAGTTTTTGCTTGTTGCCTTATGAGAAGGGAAACATGGTTTAAGGAGGGGCTATTAACCCTTTTACAGAAAATTGAGGCTCAAAGCAGTTGGTGAACCTGTGCAAAGTCCTCCACTGAGGATCCAACCACACTAGAATTCTAACAGATCAAACTTGGCGGTGTTAGGAAGGATGGAACTTCAAGTTCACCCCAGACCCATGACCTGTAGTTTGAAAAAAAAACACAACCAAACAAGGTATTTTAACAAGAACAGGGACTGGCATTTGTGTTTYAGCCATTGCTTACATTTCTCTTAGCTGCCCAGCTTATACCAAGGGTGCTGCATCCATTCATTCATGTGTTTATTAAGTGCTAGTGTGCTTCTGAATGCTGCAGTGCAGGGGAAGGGAGATAACGTGGTGAAAAAGAGCTTTCAGGAGCAGACTGAATTGTAAACACTGGAMTGATATGACTCATCTTGCAGGATTTTAGTGAAGACTAAAGGGATAATGCCTAGTAGAGTGATTAGTTACCCTCAGGACTGGCTAATAATTTAAAGGGACAAAAGGAAAATGCAGATCCCCTTGTTAAAAAATTATTAAGGAAAAAAAATTATCAAGAAGGCAGCAGTAGAATAGCTAAGAATAACTAAGCACAGGACCCTTCTGAGCATGGGACCCACCCTTGACTACACAGGCTGCATGGCTATAAAGCGGACTGTGGCTTGACATGGCAMGTGCTCAATAAGTGTTAATTATTAGTGACCTAGGGTCCCTCTGAGTTCAAGATCTATTGGAAAAAGACAGAACACCCAAATAACTGCATCAGAAACAATGTGACAGATACTGAAGACAGTTGTGGGTGCCATTCCAGAATACACAATTTAAAAAAAGAACATTGGCAATCCAGAGTATGTGAGAGTAGTTATGATTTTGTAAAGTCATTGATGTCACTTTAGATACTGAGGTGGAATTTGGATGAAGACTATCAGTTTGCATTGTTAACCTTTTGATGATTATAATTATACTCTAAAAGCCATTTCTTCAGTGTAAAGAACAAAGCCTTTTGAGTCAGACATTTCTTATCTAACTAATAATAAGAACCATTCTGGACTTGAGTATACCCTATTTCTGACACTATGCAAGATGCTTCCTGTGTATTATGTCATTAAATACCCCCAACAATCTTTGCAGGAAAGTACAATCATTAATCCTGTTTTTTACAGATAAGGAAAGCAAGAATCAGAGCAGTCAGGTGATTACCCTAAGGTTACCCTGGATAGCAGCAGAGGCACAAACTGAGCCTTATCTGGATCCAGAATCATAACCCMTAAATCAGATGCTCTGCCAGGAATCAACTGGGTGATTTTGGTCAGGTTATTTTTCCTGCTCTAGCCTCTAGCTACTTCAGAGAGTGCTGAAGTTTGAATGAGTCTGAAGTTTGTTCAGCCTAAAGGTAGACAAAATATGTCAAGGCTTTAGCAGACTTATTCTGGGATTTCCCTCCCCACCCCCATCTGATCTTTTAAGAGTTAAATTGTTATATCTTTATTGTAGAGAAATGTGTTAAAGACAGATCCATAAAGTGCCTGTAGTATTGAGATGGTAGTAAGTGGCACAAAAAAGAGAYTGCTCAGGACTTCAGGTTCTCGCTCCTCTTAAAAAAATATCAAGTGTTTGTAAAAGCTTTTGCACCCATGTGGCAGAAATGGGCCACCATCCTTGGTTTTCCTTGGTAGCTTTACTTTATAGCAATGGCAGGCTTCCCAGTGCAAATGAAGACTTCATTAGGATAAAGRCATAGTTTTTAACCATAGTTCCAGGATCCTCAGTGTCATAAAATAGGTAAAGGACCTGACTGACAGCAAGTCCCACCCTCCAATGCCTGCAACATCCTGAAYTCCGTACTCTTGTCACTGCAAACTTAAAATATGTTGGCTGATGAACTTTGCCCTCTGGCTACTCAAATATCTGATTTTAAAATGCTCAGATTTGAAAGCCTCCAGTAGCTGCACTGTGCCCAGCTCTAAAACAGTTAAGGAAAGATTGTAGAATTTGCATGCTCTTGATAGCTTTTGTACATTTTGCATTTTGTTTTTGGTACCAGGGATTGAATGCAGGGGCACTTGGCCACTGAGCCACATCCCAACCCTATTTTGTATTTTATTTAGAGACAGGGTATCACTGAGTTGCTTAGGGCCTCACTTTTGCTGAGGCTATCTTTGAATTCAGYGATCCTCCTGCCTCAGCCTCCTAAACTGCTGGGATTACAGGCGTGTACCATCATGCCCAGATAGCTTTTGTTCATTTTTGTGCAGGCAGAGATAATATAATAATTGATTTTTCAGCCCATTTTCCTTGTCCAGAGATGATCAGTAATGCCCAAGAAGAATGCAGTTGGTACAGGTGTGATCAGATGATCAAGTCTTTTCTCTTTACACTGTACCACTGATGTTCAGCATTGCCTTCTTTTGCTTTAAGGACTGGGAATGGGATGTTGAGATGAGATGGAATGGCTTATCCACATGTGCTTTCATTTCTTCTCCAGAAGGGAAGATAAAGATATCTTAAAAAAAAAACCAACTTTACAACTGTGCAGAATTCAGTCTCCCTCTACCACCATTTCTACCCTTTGTAAAGTCATAGGGAACCCCCACTGTTTCCATATGCTTTTGACTACTTCCCTCCCAAGGTGCCCCCAAATCATTTAGACAACTTCAAAGGCTGGTCTTTTGGGTGCCCCAGAAAATGGGAGCTACTTCCAGTTTTCTCCTGGTTTCTCTTTGTGAAAAAAGCATTTACGCCTCAGATGGACAAACTGGTATTTCTTTTGGAATGAAATCCTCATCTTCATTCTAGGTCTTCTTCATTTCCCATTCCTGAAGTATAGAAAGAAAGAAAAAATCAGTTTGTTGTGAGTTCTAGTGTGACTGTAGGATAGAAAACATTTCACTGCACCTAATTATATAAACATCTCCACTGTCCTGGTCCTACTTAGTCTCTTGTGATCCTGAATAAGACACTTCTCCATGCTTATCTTGTCCCCTCATCCATTCTCAAATAGTAGCCAGAATGATCATTTAAAAATGTAATTCATAAAAAATCTTGCTCAAATCTGTCCAATGGCTTTCCATTATGTCAAACATTATGTCAAACAGTCTATACAAAGGACTGGCTAACTATAGCCTATTGGCCAAATCTGGCTTGTTGTCTGCTTTTGTATAACCCATCAGCTAAGATTGCGTTCACATTTCTAAATAGATGTTTGGAAAAAAAAATTTAAAAAAGAATGGTTTCGTGACGGGTGAAAATTCTATGAAATTCAAATTTCAGTGACTATAAATGAAAAGTTTTGAGACATAGCCATGGTCTTCATTTGCTTAACTATTGTCTATCTATTCATTTGCTTAACCTTTGTGCTATAA